TAATAAATTTTAATATAAATTATCTTTCTGAATAACACAAAACCGAAAAGTAGCCAAATGTTTATAAATCATGCAAAATTAGATTACAAATTATCTATACTAAAAATGTATTTATCTAAAAAAAAATCACAATAAATGTAAAAATATATATTATAAATTAACATTTATTTTATATTATTTATATTATTACATTTTTTTAATAGTATTCTTTTTAAAACAGAGGAAAGGCCCCTATTATGAGATACCGAGTTCATTTTGGGTAAATGTTAGAAATCTATTAGGAGAATTTAAAAAAATGATAGGTCATTTTAAAAGGAATTTAATAAGCTTTAAAACAACGTTATATAAAATTTAATTCAAACTCTATTTTTTTTTGAAAATTAAAGAAATGTAAAAAGTGGGCAAATCGCAAAGTCAAAAAATTATGCTCCTAATATATATATATAGGATGCCCCGAGAAATCGATAGTAAAAGTATATCAGTATTGCAATTAAAAAACTTTATTTAATGTTTCTAAAATACAAACAAACACAACCAGCATGCGCGACAAATGAGCGATAGATTATATCCAGAACTCGTTTTCAGATAATTGGAATTAATCATCGTAGAAATATATAACTTGACGTTTATTCCAGTTGTCTTTTTTATTATTATACAATAATATTTATACTTTAGCGATTTTTACTATAACATAGGAGCATGGATTATTTCATATTAGAAATAATCCATACCCTGAGTATCTCATATTACGATTTCCATGTCTTATGGTTTTACGATCATCAAATCTAACTTCTATAATTAAACAAGTCAACATAACCCATATTTTTCTATTAGTACGACCTTACTCTATCACTACTTGAAAAATTTATTGCCAAATATTTATTTTATTAAATAATAAACAAGATTTAAAGGCTCACATCTCAATAAAACTTGAAAATATCCAAATTCTGAAATCTTGACAAATAATTTTAATAATTCTCTACTTTTTCGTTTTCATGATTCTTTTAAATGACTACACAGCAAATCTGATAATCTGATGAGCGATGTGATTCTACTTAGTGACGCAATGTATATGACTTCGGTTTTTCTTTATGTAAGTTTTTATAATGTTATTGTATAAGTTAACTATTCCTGATAATCATTGGACTATTCATTACATAATTAATTTGGCATTTGAATAAAGAAGAACAAACTAAATTGTTGGGAATCATCAATTTGGAATTTGCGTTATTTATGTAATTTCGATTTAGATTGATAAAGACCCGAATTGAAGGGTCGAAATGTATATTTTATTTGTTTTGTTACATTTACACAAAAAAAATAAAGAAATTTTTGGTGCATCTGAACAGCTGATGTAGGCTCTAATGAACTTTTTTTAAAATCTTGTTTTACAATGACTGATAGGCATGATCTAATAATGAATTTTCTACTAAATAGTTTTCAATCCAAGAGCAATAAATTCATGGTGGAGTCAATAGATAGCGCTTATTAGTTCAGCAGAAACGTTACTATCTCATATTAGGCACCTATCTCATAATAGGCGGCTTTACTTTAAATATGTACAAATAAAACTATTATTTTAAAATAATAGAATCCTTTTTTGAGAGTGAAACAGATAAAAGTATTAGGAAAAAAATAAAAAAACAAATAATTATGTTTTTAATAAACAAAGCAGTCAAAATACTAAATATATAATTTATGATTTAAATACAGTATTTATTCTTGCAAATAACTTTTATATTAAGATATTATTAAACTTATATTTATTTATTCTTTATTTATTTTATTTATTTCTTATTTACAAATAAATTCTCTATTCTTAATTTTTATTTATAAATTTATTCATCTGTAGATTTGTAAATAGATTTGTAACTCTTTATACAAAATTCATGTTGACACTACTAAACGTATACTTTATTTTAACAGTAAGAGTTTTTTCAATGCTGTTTATCCAGATACGATAAAAGCTAAAGTTAAGTTATCTTCTTCTTAACAATTAATTAAGAAAAGGATAATGTGACTTTAGCGTTCACTGTATCTGGATTAATGTTATTGCAAAAACTCTCTAATATCATAAACTCGACTATCGGATATAGTAATCGATAAATCCAAAAATCAACTATGACCATGTATACTTTATCATAAGATAATTCAATAAATTCCAATTGTTCTAAGAAAAGATGTCAGTGAAAACTGCAAATTTAATTAGAATTATTACTTTTATCATTCAATAAGTAAAATGTAAAAGTAATAATTGTAGAAAATCAGGCAAATAAGGGTAAATATAATGAGCAAAACATACTTAAATTTATAAATAAATTATATTTGACCGTTTCTATCACATTTAAGGCCATACATATTCTCAGCAAAGTATTATACAAGTATTAGAAAAAAATCTCCATACTCTCGTCTACCAGACGAATCCCCATTGTATAATTTTGTTTCACCATGGTCCAATGTACATAATTCACAAAAATTTGCAATCGCTTAAAAAGTATTAAAAATTAAAATGTGAAATAATGCCAGCCAAAATAGAAAGTCTCATTTGAAGAACAAGACTGTAAAATGTACATCACATAAGATCTAAAATTTAGTAAATAAGTCTATCTACATATGCATGATTAAGTTAGTCTGATTGTAAATTTAAACTGTTTATTTGTAATTTAATAAATATTATTTCGGATAGACGTTTACTCAAAAATCTTTCAGAGAAATCTTCACATTCGATCAATCAAATTTGTGACCTATGTATAACCTATGATCCGTAATTACCGAAATAGTATTTCTATTGATGTGGTTTTTGGAATTTAACGTGTTCTGAAATTCTGATAGTAATTTCCTCTTTATTTGACCCACATAAGTTGCATTACAATCAGTACATGAGATTTTATATATGTTATCACATTTTTCTTTAAATTATTTGGATTCACATCTTTATGAACTTTAATAAACTTGCTCAGTTTAAAACTATAAAACGCTAATTTTACATTCAAATTTCTTATTATATTTCTAAATTTTCAGAAACATTATGAATATATGGAATAGTAAAAGCCATGGCACACAAAAAACTTAAGACAGTAAGACAAAAGCAGTGAAGAAATTAACATGTTGGATTGACTACTGCTTACGGAGTCTACCATAATTGGTCAATTCACTTACTACTTACATTTCACTGTTTAAGTTTTTTGTGTGCCATGGCTTTTACTATTCCATATATTCATAATGTTTCTGAAAATTTAGAAATAGGGCCATAGCCCTAAGGATAATTTTCTTTTTCCTCCGTAATCAAATCCATATTAATATTTTGTTCTAAAATTTGTTTTAAAGTTTTTTTATAACAAAGAGATTTAATACTGATAGTCAAATATAAATTTTAAAAAATTCATAAGTCGTTATTTGACAGTTTTTTAAAATTAATATTTTTATTGTGTGTGAAATTTCAGATGTGACCAAAAAAAGATTTTGTCAACCATTCCGATATGATAACCTCCCTTTTTTGTTAAATCAATGAGAAGACATAAAATTTAGATATTTCCCTGAGAAATTTGATTTGTGAAATCAATCAAATTCTAGGGTATTGTCATTGTTAATAATATTAACGTCCAAAAAATTTAAAACATTGCTTCCGATTTCAACTATAAATTAAAGTCTTGGGTAAAACGAGTTAAATATATTAAGAATCTCGATCATATTAGAAAGAATAGCTGTAGTAATATTATTTATGATATCTGACGTAAAACGAAAATGAAAATCGAGCTCTTGCGAAACTAAGTCAGCAATCACCAAAGATAAAGAAAATCCTATAGGCAAATAAAGAAAACATTTGCTTGTATATATATTATTATCAAGTCAATTAGAAAAATGTCAAGTTTATATAGAACAAGTCGAAGAATAGTAATAAATTCGTCTTTTAAGATATAGCAAATGTCTGATTATCTATAATACTAGAAAGACTTTCTAATGCTAACTCAATCGGCACATTTGTGAAGAGTGAGATAACATTTAACAAGATTAAAATGTAATTTATGACGTGTGTATCAGATAATAGTAGTAACGATACTTTATCATATGATATCGCATTGAGAAAAATTCTGGAAAACTTCACAAACGCAAGATTTATATCTTTGTTGCGACTTCAGAAACATATATAAACCTTTGAATGCGTCTATTCGCTTCAATATCAGGCAACAAATCTGCAATCAAAGATGCGTGTGTTCGCTTGTCTTATATTTGTCGCTCTGGCATACGGCACTGAAGGTATGAAAATTCATTAGAAAATGGAAAAATTACTTTTCTGTTACTTTTACTGTTACATTTTGTAATAACAATTTTTCATAATATAATTACAATTTTTTAAAACTGTAATGACCAATTAAAGCTAAAGTTACGCTAAGAAAAGTCACTTTGTAAAGTAAATTTTCATCATCACTTACTAAAACTTTATTACTTATTATTAAAAAAAATAACAAGTAACTGGTGTTGCCGCAAAGTTACTCCGTATTACAAATTATATTAAAAAGAACGAGTTATAAAAATTGCGAGTAATCTTTTTCAGTACCAATGATTTTTTTTCCAATCCGTGGTAAGTATCTATTAACTGTTTCAACTCTGATGTTATACATGAGATCCATTTTTTATTCCTGCATTCTCTGAACTGGTACAACTAGTGCAATAAGTTGAAGTAAAGTATACTTATTTTACTTCAATATATTGTATTATGTGCACAAGTTCAAAAAATGTGGGAATAAAAAACCAATTTATTATTAAAATAAAATATTTGCAACGTTATTATCAAATCGTTATTACAACAAGGCAACTAACAATAAATAATGGCAGTTACAACAATCAATTACTTCCATTTCCTGAAAATATCATTTCTATATACAATATTTTATAAGTTATTACAACTACTTTATGCCAAAGAAAATGAGAGAAAGAGAGAGAGAGAGAGAGAGAGAGAGAGAGAGAGAATGGAAAAAAGAAAATTAAACATGTCCGATAACATGCTAAATGTAGCATCAATATGTTGGTCAACATGTCGAGTTGCTATATATAAATGTATTATATAAATATAATGACTTTTCTAGCAAACATAACATTTATAATATATAATAAATCAATCAATTTTATAAATGTAATCGATCAACCTCGCGTTTGTTACAGAAGGTAATCTGACATACTGATCAATATGTTGAACAAGCAGTATACGTATTAGCTCAATACTGGAATTTATTTGCAACTTTCAGATTTTTAGTTTGATTCCCTTATCTCACTAATCTGCGCGATGTCTAAACGTCAATTGGCAGTAAAAATTAAAGAATTGTATTAGTTATTACTTTCCAATATATTCAAAGTTTTTGATAATAACAATTATATGTCATTTATAGTAAATTTTATCGTATATGTAAAAAAACGTATATCTAAACTAAAAAATCGTAAATAAACAAATTAATTAATTATAATTAATTATATCAATAGAAAGTATATGTACATCTCTTTGCATTCTTTAAATATGTGTAGTTTAAAAATTAATGTAAAATAAACACAGTAAAGCTAGATATAAAAAATTTATATTCGAAATAAAACTTCTCTAAACAATTCATTTAATTATAAAATAAACACGATGTTTAATTCTTAAAATTAATATATATAAGATGTTTTCCAAAAAAAGATATAAATCAACACAGGAGATATTCTAACTTTATTCGATATTCGATGAGAGACAATCGATTCGTATCTTTTACTGGAAAAATACTGTAATAATGTAACAGATATTATTTTGCATATATATTAATTAATTTATTTTTGTTAATAAGGAGCTCCATCTCCTTCTACTATAAGTGAGGATACTTCTATTGACATCAAGGATGTAGCTCCTATCGGCAAATTTGGGTATCAAGTGTCACTTAGAGTAAATGACACACACGTATGCAGTGGATCTATTCTTGATAATTATAATGTGTTAACTTCAGCAAAATGTGTTGTTGAGTATGTTGAATATTCTGAATTTTTATCAATATACATTATTTTTGGAATGTAAATCTAATTTTATTTGAAGGTATTAAATACACACAGTATATGAAATGTGTACGTATTCAATAAGCAAACTACCAGCAGATATAATATCTAAACAAATCTACTGATTACAAATTGATAGTAGATTTGCTTGGATATTGCAACAAATTCAGTATCATTTAAGTAGTCTTCAACTTATGTTTTGCTGGCAGAACTTAATGATATAATCTAACATCAAATTGGAGGTTGATAGCAGAAACTGAACAGAAAGAGAGAGAGAGAGAGAGAGAGAGAGAGAGAGAGAGAGAGAGAGAGAGAATATTTTATTTCGTTAACATTTAAATGGAATACGTCATTTAAACGTGTTTAATTTCTGCAATCAACCTTCTATTCTATTGGCTATCTATTCTATTATCTTCTGTTATATTTTTGTTGATATTCAATTGATAAAATACAAATACTTCTAAAATTTGAACTTAATAGATATAGATTTTTAATATTCTTATATATTTTTTTTTTAGATTGAAGTGTTCATTAGATGAAATAAAGGTCCATGCCGGCACTAACTCTGTAAACGATACACGATATCATTATGACGTAGAGAGTATTAACGTTCATCAAAATTACGACGAATTATTATGCTTTAATGACATCGCTTTGATTCATCTTAATGATCCTATCAGACCCAACGTATTAGTGTATCCAATAAGTCTTCCAAAATATAATAAAAATTTCGAAGGCAAACCGTGCACGTTATCCGGATGGACAAAT